TTCAGGCTGTTTGTTTGGCCCTGCGCTGGGGCCGGTCCTACAGCGCTGGGGACATTGGCTGTCACTGCTGTGAGGGTCGACGCAGGGATGTTGTGGTCCCCGCCGGCTCTAGCTTTGCCTTCCTCTCCGGTGGCATCATGTGGCTTCATCTCGGCTGAGCCATCCCCCAGGAGCCCTGGCATCCTGCCTGGGCCGAGTCCTTCCCTCGGCTGAGGTGCTGACTCCTCAACGCTGAGACGCTCCCCTCTGCCTTCATCCCCAGGTGCTGAGTCCTTCGGGTTGTTCTCCTGCGTGATCAACGGGGAGGAGCAGGAGCAGACCCACCGCGCCGTCTTTCGGTGAGCTTGCAGGCATGAGTGGTGCCCTGAGCCTCTCGCGGGGGGAAACCGGAGCTGCTCTCCCACCACAGTGGGGCCAGCCCGAGCCACGGTTTTTCCAGCTTTTGGGAAGTCCTAGGGACCAAACCACTGCCCGTAGCTCGTGCCTTGCCCAGGACCAACATCTGCCCAGGCTGCTGGGACCTCTGGGGAGCAGCATGGGTGGTGCAATAGGGGATACCCTTTCCTCAGGTGCTAGGGCACTGCCGCCTTTTGAGCCTAAACCGGCTCAGATGCTTTATTCAGCATCTTGGGTCCCTGTGGCTAAATACCCTCGCCAGGGCCAGCGGGGGGCTTTGCATTGCCTCCCGCACCAGCAGCGTGCCGGTGGGAAGGCCACCAGCGTTGCTGGCCGGCCAGGTGCTAGTGCCTCCCTGCACAGGTTTGTGCCTCGCCACGCGGATGAGCTGGAGCTGGAGGTGGATGATCCCTTGCTGGTGGAGGTGCAGGCAGAAGATTATTGGTACGAAGCATACAACATGCGGACGGGCGACCGGGGCATTTTCCCTGCCTACTATGCTATCGAAGTCACCAAGGACCCAGACCACGTAACAGGTACCAAGCCTCTGCACGCAGCCTGCTGATGTCCCCCATCTTGTGTCCACCTCCTCTCTGCTGAGCAGAGCCTGGTACTGAGCAGGGGGAGGGAGGGAGGACCAAGCCAGGCACCTGGCAGGGAGTGATGGGCAGCTTCTGGTGCGATGCTGGGAGCTGGTACCTAGCGCTGCGTGTCGCCTTCCCTGGGCAGGGAAACATGCAAGAGTGGGAATATGGAAAGGGAAGGTGGATCTAAGCCCACGTTCCTCATCATCGAAGATGATCCCTGCCACATGCTCTCTCTTCCAGCTCTGGCCAAGAACAGCGACTGGGTGGACCAGTTTCGGGTGAAGTTCCTCGGCTCGGTGCAGGTTCCCTATCACAAGGGCAACGACGTGCTCTGTGCAGCCATGCAGAAGGTAGTCTGCCACCCCGTCCCTGGGAGCAGGAGCGCCCACTTCTCCTGGCAGCGGGGCAGTGGG